CTAAATATTTTAAGTTGTAGAAAAGGTATATCTTCCTAGTATTGGTACTAGGAAACGATATCCTTTAAATGGTGTTATTACTAGTATATATATAAACAAGTCCGCCCGAGTCCCGGTAGTCGCACGCATATACTTATATATACTAATAAATTACACTATTCAAATAGCGCATACAGCCTGAGAGTCGCTAATTCCCTAGCAGAACCCACCATTTAACTCGAGCATGGTTTCACACTGGTCCCTTATTAGACAAGTATATTTTTAACTGAAGTTCGATGAAGTCACTAATTCGGTAGTGTTATTATCAGCGCCTTCATACAACCCTATATTCGGTCATAGCTACTTGCTAACAGGTATGGACTTGTACGACTTAGATAGTTTAAACAATGTTCAGTAAGTGTAACTAGCGCTGCTGGATCACTCAAATAGAAAGATAACTTTTATAGGCAATGCTAATATAGTACGCTTTAAGCTGGAGCGAGAGAAAGCAATCACAACTACAGAAGCCAGTTATAAGGACTCAGGATTAGAGAAAAGTAACTTAGCGAAACTAGTTCAAGAATTAAATCTATAAGAATGCTATAAAGCTATACGGGTAATATAGACCTACTAATTGATTAAAGCCGTCAGCAAGTTTTTACCACTTTAATAGCAGCTAATTCTAACCGTGGTTACTTAGCAAAACACACAAGAGTTTCCAATATAAAATAGCATTTGGCAAATAGTGCATGTTCGCCTTGTACAAGCTTTATTGGCTGGAATTGAAAAGAGAAATTTTAAACACTTTTTTTTTTCGTTCTACTTTGGTAGAATGATCTAATTATCATTTCTAGAGTGGTAGTTATTTTTGTTCTACCAAAGTAGAACCTTATTCCCTAGCATGGGAGATTATTATTTGTAACATTTTTTATATCTTTGTATTGTCTTATAGTCTCCTGTGCTAGGGTTTTTAAACCAAGGTGAAAGAACCTACTAAACAACTATTAAATCGAGTAGGTAGAAACTAGTAACCTTAAACTAGGAAGTAATCTTGGTTATGGAGCATGTCCTGTAATCTTTTATCTTCCCTTGGGACATGCTCTTACTTTAGATCTGGACAGTGATCTCTAGCTTGATTCAAGTTCATTGAGGTTTAAAATTATTTAGCTTTCTATTTGTATACATACACATAGGTAGTTACCTCTAACAGATCTATTTGATATTTTATATATAATTTTATATAAATTTTATATATTTATATATATAATTTAAAATATTTTTATATATTTTATAATAACTTAGTTTGTAGCTAAGGTTAGAAGACAATGGTTAGCTTAAGTTAATAATAAGCTTATACTAATCAAGTTAATACCATAATTAGCTGTTGATACAATCATTAGCTTAATGTCATCGATGCTCAAACAAATAAGTTTTCTTCAAGCTTAGGTTAATTCATCATCGTCCTATCGATCTCCTAGTGGTTCAAGTAACTAACTAGCTTACCTTAATGAATCTAAAATCTCAAAAAACACTTTAACTAATATTCAAACTAACAAATCTATAAAGATTCTTTAATAAGAAAGATCCAGAGCAAATAGCTTATAAATAATAATTTACTTATGAATTAAAGCTAACGTCTGTTGACCTTCTCAAAGGTTCGACTAACTCTGAAGATAGTTACATGTTAAAAAGTACTGTGCAGGAAAATGTGAAAGAGATCCCTATGGGAGTGAAATAGAGCATACAACCTAATGCTGAGGCGCACCGTCGATGGTAGTCCCTTTGATAGAGGCTTCCGAATCTTCTTGGTAATAATTTTACCATTAAGATTGTGAAATAACAACTTAAGAAGTAGTAGCTTGATCTTTGCTAACTACATCAAGGTAAATAGCGGCTTTAGTAAAAAAAAATAAAATTAAATTAAATAAATAATAATTTATAAAAAAAAATTTTTAAAAATAGTGTCATTTGTATCTATGTTTAATCACTCGATTGACACGTTATAAGAGATATGAGCTAATTAACTTGCATCTCGCTTCGCGCTTTCTAGCGTGCGTTTATCTAGCTTATCGGCGCACGTTCTTGTGTCGAAGCCTTTGCTTAACTGTGACTGCAGTTATAAGTCCTTTCGGTCGAAATTAGTTAGACTATTGGCTTCTGCATAGGTTGGCTCATTGATGGTGAGTCTCGCTGCTGGAGCAGGCTGCTCCGTGGTGCAACAGACTGTCGTGCAAGGTAGTGATCGGGACCTATCGGCCTTCGTTAAGTTGAGTCCATCCTTTGACTTGTATAGAGTATTTCCAAACCGTCTTACTGTTAAAGAGTCATCGAAAAAGCGCACGAAAAAGATCGTGCCATGTAGTACGCTGTCGTTGCGTATGTTATTCCTAACGTGCTTTGGTAAACGTTTGCCCTAGAATTAGCACAATAGGGTGCCATCCACAGATGGATTTTTGCACCGTTATTAGATGATAGGAAATGACATCGTGTTTAGTAATCCTCTACTTTGAATGGGTCTAGCAAATTAAAGCGAAAACAATAGTACCCGAACCTTGTTAGATTCCTTACAAAACATTCAACGTGAATATGGTTACCCGGTATAAATCTAATTGATTTGAGGAACGTGTTAAACTGTGGAGAGACGTAGGCTTATTATTACGTGCTGAAAAGTACGCTCTTAAAACTGGTAAAAGCTACGCAGCGTATAAGTTCACTAGGCTGGTTCTATATTACCAGTATCACCAGGGTTAATTACATTGTCTCAGACTGGCGCTCGCCCCAGTTACCTTCCGTCGACGGAATGAGCTTTGAATAGTCTATCTTGGTTGATGACTTATGATCTAAAAGTAAATTACAGATCCGCGATGTATACTACGTTGCCTTCCGGACGCCGATCCTTTGTGAAAGGCAATGGAAGTTACGTGTAAACCTTTGTGTGTTCACTTTTAGCATGCTTAGGCCCACGTATAAGATGCATAGGTGACTATTCCTACAGTCACTAACCGCGTGTGAAGGCTTTTGTGTCTACGAGCCTATGCATTGAGCAACTCGGAAGCGCTTTGCCCTCGTCTAGGGGACTGAGGTCTAGTCCAGATCATACCTTTTGATTATCGACTATTGATTCTCGCGTCTAACGGTGGTAATACTAGCACATTTCATAGTATAAGCCACTGTTGGTGAATCATGACCTTGCTTAGGCTAATTACACTATTTCTTGCAGTTGTCCTTGGCTGAGGCTCGGTTCGACCTCAGATTGTACAGTGCTTATTCCTATGTCGGCTCGCCCCTAAATGGGCTATAGGTACTGTATGAGAAGAGTGCTTCCTGGTAGTATATACACTATATTAGTAGCGGCGAGCCCAGCACCTAGCATAAACCTAATGCTAGTCATATCAAAAATAAGGTAGAATGGAAATTGGATTTTGTAAACCTGTTCAGACTCAGAACAAACAGATTAAAACAAAAGACCTTCCATTAAGAGAAAAGTTGAAAGTATCCGAAGTTGCATTAAAATATCTTCTAAGGTTAGGTTAAAAAATTTTTGTTACGGTAGGGAGAACTGCTGCTATCATATAATAAATGAAATTACGGCTTTGGCAAAAATTATAGAGGCATGTCTAGCGCACGCTTACATCTTAGTAATGAAAACTTGTTAGGACACGGTGCCTTAGTTGAGCTATGGTAAAATTCTAAAAAAATACCTGGTTTGCACGCTTAAATCTGTTAGAACATGGCGCGTTAGTAAGCTAAATCTTGCCCCTTTACTCATAAGATTCCTATTTGGCGTGCTGGGCAATCTACGACCAACCCTAAAGATGCATTAAAACATACTAAAATAACTCACGAGAGGTATCGGATCGATACCAAGCTCTTTTAGGATTTAAGCAAACACATTTTAAGTATTTTTAAGGGTAAATTAATTATGTTATAATAAGAAATAGTAGCATAAGCTAACCCTGAGTCTAGAGTTTTCCTGAGGACGGTACCCATAATTACTTGTCGATTGAGTCAAAAGTGAATTGAAGTATTTTTAAGATAAAACTAGCTATAGATAAAAATATCCAGAAAATTTACGGATCTAGCTCCAATGACGCCTAAGGACCATAGAGGGAGCCATGACCAGGAAAGTCAAGCCTCCGGTTAGCATATATACCATCCTTGAAACGAACTCTAAGGCAGTATAATTTATTTAATAAGTTATTATCATTTTTATATTAGCGCTAACTTTACCGTAATATATACTGGTGTTCTATCTTGAAAACTAACAAAGGCAGTATATTAGTTAGTGATACACAAAAAGTGACACGCATAGTTATTTTGCTTTTTTACTCTGCAATGGAATAAAGCTCTCCTAGTCATTATTTCCTTTCTAAATTCGTCACTATCAGCGATTATCAGGCAGTTACATATAATGCTCAATTCTTCCATTACGATAGCTCTTCAGCACTATGAAAGTTTTTTGTTGAAGGTGCTTGATCCTTACAGTTGTAAATAAAATACTTTTCAATTAGAAAATCATAGACTCGTTAAGCCATATATCTGCTTGGCATTATTATTCCTTTTAAGTAGACTTTTACCTAGGTAAAATAGTTTTTGTTTAACCTTCATTAAACAAGCAAATTTCTATAAGACAAGAAAGCAAAATAATGATTGAAGTTAATAGCCAAGAACAGGTAATTTTCCCTCTATCAAAACACAAAGTGTTTTCTAAAAACTGTTAAATAATGCTTTAATTCCATGAACACCATACTATAAGGAATAGTATGTATTAGTCCTGGTTAAAAAATTTATTTTAAAAAGTCATTTATATATAGGCAGGAGGCAAATGATGTACTAAGAATGTTCTACACCCTTTATAGGTTTCATTGTCAAAGTGAATACAGCTAATTGTCATTACAAAAGAGTTCGAGGTAACCTCGTACGTCTTTCTGTAGCATTAAAGGCTTAAGGATTTCACTGTCACTTAGTGACCTCACCGTGGCCTCCTTGTATTCACTCTTAAGGTGGTATAACTACCCAGTATGAGTAACAAGAAAGAAGAAATTACTCATCTAGAGACAATAAGAAATATTCGAAGTGAAGCTATTGAGGCAACAAAGAAATACTTAGAGAATTACGTAGGAAAAGCAGCCCTGAAAAATCCTGGCTTACATTCTATTTTTGAAAGCACCTTAAAACTTGGTGAAGGCGAGCCCCATGCTCGTATTATTCGGAAAAATACATGCATAATGTCCCGAAGTGCAATAATAATGGACATTGGCAACTTATACGCTAAAGTTGGTTTTGCTGAAGAAGCAACACCCCGTTTTGTGTGCACATCACCCTTTATAAACTTGCAGAAAGATTTAAATTATTTTCGGTTAAGTGACGACATTAGAGAGCACACCATAAGGGTATGCCTTATTAGATTCTTTAATGTAATCTATCAACAATATTTGCTCACGGACAGCAGGCAGAGACCTGTTGTCCTTCTCCAAAATATTTATAGCGGGATTGTTGGCTCAGTGCCCTATAAAAGTGTGTTAAGCGTTTTGTTTAAGCATTTTAAGGTGCCTTCTATTTCTTTAGTTTGTACTCAGTTAGCTTGTCTTTTTACAAAGAGCCCCCTTGTCTACTGTTTAAAAACCGTAAAAGGGGAGAAATTAAGAAATGAAAAGGAGTCCATTTTTAAAAAGGTAAATCAAATTTTTCTTGTTGTAGATCTAGGTTATCTTGAGTGTCGGATCCTCCCTGTAGCATATGCAACTCCTCTTACTTCAGCATTACAGATCTCAAGCTGCTTAGGCGGGAAGTTTATAGATGGCATGTATAAAAGCTACATTAAAAAAGATATGGGGCTGGCCGAGTTTGCTACGAATTGCTTACTAGAAGGCCACAACCTTCTAAACGATGAGGAATATTTAAACTTGCCGGAATTAATTTTAGAAAGTGTGCTAACCTCACCAATTGACCTACGCGCTCTGCTGTTGAGTAATATAGTACTTTGTGGAGGAAACTGTTCCTATCCCAACTTCTCCCAAAGTTTGTTGACTAAACTTCGAGAAACGATAAACTCTCAGGAAAATAAGTATTATCGGCTAAAAGCATTAGCAGGCGGTGTTTCCCTTTCAAAAAACGTTAAAGGGGCCATATTGCCCATCTTTATGCCCTGGACAGGAGCGAGTATATATGGTACTTTGAACGAACTATTAAAAAAAAAGGGATTGTCGAAAGAAGATTTCCTCAATGGAACTCTGGACAAAGAAGAGCTCGATGCAGTTGCTATATATTATTAAAAGAGACAACTTAAATTATAAACTATATTATACTCGCAGTTTCTGTGTTGGCTGCTGTATAACCATGTAAAGATTGTACCAATGAGGTTTATAGTTTATAAAGATCGATAAGGCTGCCTTCATAATCCACGTGTCCCAAAATAGGAAATCAGTCATCATTTTCGTGCATAACCGCTATTGCCTCTCTTTTGGCTTTTGGAGTTTTTAAAAGCACGAGTTTGCTATATTTCAACGAGCGCAACAGTAAGTCCACGTGAGTGCATAGCACTGAACAAATAGAATAATTACTTTATCATTTTCCTCGTCACTGTAGGCGCCGCCAAAAGTTTGTCTGTCCTCAGCAGCCGCCTTTCTTTCGAGTTCATCCCAGTCCTCTCCGCTCTCTTCTTCCTCAGCCCCTGCGCTGCCGTAGTACTCGCTTCCGCTTTCATCATCGCTGTATTCGCTGTCGTAATCATCGCTCTCGTCCTCTGCTTCGCTAGGTTGGTAGTCGTCTTCGTCAGTTTCCTCACTTTCTTCACTATCACTCCCTTCCAAGTTGTCCCAACCCCCTGATAACACATATTATACCGTGAGTTCCGCAAAGCAAAAGGCTCATTAAATTAAGAATAGACCGTCGTCCAAAAACTGTTTCGGATCTGCTGCGATGCACTTGAGAATGGTGTCCCAATTTATGCTGTTACGTAGTTCGTAATATTTAATCCCGTACTGGCTGTGAACAACCACATTTCATTAATGCATGATATATAAAAACTGTAAGAAGGCGAACGTGAGCCAGTCCTTAACAACGTCGAGATTGTTTAACTCGATGGCAGTAATTCTGTTCCAAGTTTTATAATCTTTGTAGATGAAAACAAGATCGAAATTTTTGTTTCCCATCTTTAGTTTCCATGCAAAAAAACTCATTTAGAAATCTAAATAAGTGAATTAATTTTTAAAAAGGTCACCCTCACGCGCTCAAAGTGGGCAACTTCTACGTCCTCTAAAGGAAAAACATGAACAGGCTGCTCTGTTAAGCTGACCAGGCAATCAGCAGTGGGCATCAGAAAAACGTTATTTTTTCCAGGAACCCCGTTAAAACCTAAAACGCGGCAGTACAAACAATGGAAGTTGTTGCGTCTTCGAGTCAAAACCTAAATTTCTTATTGGCTGCTCAAAGGTGACTTCTTTAACTTTTTCCGTGAAGCTTTTAAAGGCCTGACAGTATTCTTTTACCCGTCCATCCGACATACGTGCTAGGAAAAGCGTACCTGATCGATCCGTTGCTTTAGTCTTCTCTCTCTTTGTTCGGCCTCCAGCTCGTCACGGTCGCCGTGACTCGAGTAACTTTTTCCGCCGAGATCTTGGACGGACTCGATTGCTTCGGTAAAAAACTGAATATCGGATTGTTTCTTCGAATAGGGGGCAAGAATAGGTGTTTTCAAATGAAAATGCAACAGAACGATGAGTTCGTGGGCCGACGGTTGGAAGAAGGCATAGCGAATATTGCTGTATAATATGTCCAATCTGCAGCGTAACTTTAGTCAAGTCGCTGCTCTTTTTACAGGCGGCAACCGTACTTAACTCCCTTGCAAGCGTAACGAAATCCGTTTTCGTGGGCTTCTAAGACTCCTGTTACTCTACCTCGAGAAAACTGGGGCCTGACATACAAACCGCTCAACCTTGGATTGTTTTTGGACTATCCAGATAAGTAGCGTCATTACAGCAAAAAAAGGCTAAATTCAAAAGTAGTACTTTACTAAGAACCAATTCCTGTTGCTCTACTAAGCCGTCCAGTTCTCTCCTTCTAGCCTCTTCCTGCTTGTATCTGTTCTGCAACTCTTTGATCTACGAAGGCGAGAAGCTAAATAACGAAACAGAGAGAGTAATGAAGGAATTACTTGAATACTAATATCATTAAATCTCTTGGGTTGCGTGCTACGGTACACAAATTCTTTAATAAATGTATTTTCTGGGTGCGCGAGGCTTAAGATCGGATTGGGCTTTCCGAAGGAGGTCCCTAAAAGAGGATAATTACCCGCCCGCCCCACCACGGGCTCGCACGTTAACTAACCGGGCGCCTGCAAGTTGATCCGCAGCTCTCCAGTGGTGTTTCCCTGCACGAGTTAAGAATGAAGAAGAGCTGAGAGGAGTACCGGAGCAGGACCTCCCCGTGGATGTTCAAGCTGGTGTTTTTGATCATGCTGATGTGAAAAGGTACGGCCTGTCCAAAAACCGGAAGGATGACAGCCCAAGCGTGAGAATCCACGTGAATCTTAGCCCTGCAGGCGTAAGCGGCTGTAAGCTCGTTATGCTGATCAAATGGTTACTTCTTTATATTGGAGTCGTCCGGCAAAAGCTCCCGCCGCTTGTAAGCAGTAATGCGCTTTAAATCTTATATAAAAGCTCACCATTGGATTATGATCTGAAGTTTCACTAAAAGACCTATAGAGTGGTCCTCAACCTTATGGTTCATACGAATTAGCCTAATCTTAGCTTCTTCGTGAAGTCTCTTGGAGATTTCCTCCTGCTTCTTTTTTCGAATTTCGTCCTCGGTGAGTATGCCCACCTGCAAAACTACAGGTTCAAAAGCAATACTTTCTCCTGCAAGCAGCGAGCTGAACCCGATCTTCCTGCCGTGTACGGGAAGCCAGCACATTTGAGCGTCTTCTTGTTTCTTGCTTCAAGTATTGGGGGCTGGAATCCTCCTCGGGGCTTTTCCGGTCGTCCAGAGTATAAGAGATATTAGGCAAATCGCTCTCGCAATTTTCAGTAAAAGTCTGTGCTTCACCCTCTCGGACGACCACAGTATCCGCCAACACGAGAGAATATCTAGTAAATCCATTAACCGGAAGTTAGGGGCTACTAAACACATGCTCACCTGAGCCCGTCGGCCACAATATCCTTCAGGGCTACTGACAAGTTGAATACCATTCCAATCTGAGCAGTCTTCATATTTTTCGCGTTAAGTAATAAGGAGGACTCCCTAAATTCAATGCCCATCTATAAATTTAATCAATCTTAAAATGGATATTTATCCATATTAACTCGACTGCAGACCCCAAAGCCAACGCTTTTTCCGAGGTTGGAAACAAAATGTGGGTATTCACTGCCCTCTATAAGTTTTACAGCGGTGTCATGAAGCTTGTGAAGCTCCACGCCAGGAACCAAAATTCGAAGCAACTCTTCCCTGATGGAGTACAATAGTTGGTATTGGGCTTCTATTGTCTACCAAGAAATCGTGCTAAACGAGAGCTAAACGGCGTCTGAACCACAAGAAAGTACGGGTGAGGGGTCCACTAGGTACGTCCTAGAGATGTTGGAGCAGTAGTTTTTATAGCGAGCGCCAAGAGAGCAAGTGATGACACCAGACTTTAAAGTATCGTCATCTTCAGAACCTGAAAGAAAAATAATAATATATAAAATCAAATAAAAACCTCTTAACTTTACCTTTAGCATAGCTTTGCACAACGGGCGTGTAGCACGAGTCCACATATTCCTCCTGCACGTGCGTTTTCACACCAAACTTAGATGGAGAGGTTAGAAAATCTTCTATTTTTTCGGCCAGTTCACTTTGTAGAACTTTTTTCTCCTAGTAAAATAATATCTGAGTAGAAAAAAAGTATGGGGGAAGACAGGTTTTACCTCGCTAATTATCGTCTCCATATGGGTTCTAAAATGGTTCTGCATAACATCCGCGCTAAGAGTGGCGGCTCTCTTTATAATAATCTTAAAAGGTAAAGCAAAGCATCCTTAACCACAATTAAAAAGATTTAATAGTAGGTACTAGTTCGTCTTGTTCTTTAAGGCCTAACACCAGATGAAGCGCACTGGTGGCATCCACTTTTTCTATAGTGCTACTTTGACCGATGCGCTCAGTAAAATATTTCTTGTATTCCTCTATGAAAGGGCCAAAAAAGCACTCCTCATCCCTCAGTAAAAAGCCCCATTTTTTCTATTACGAAATGTCAAGAAAGGTTATTACACCAAGAATAAAGTCATACCCCCTCATAACTGGAGGTAAGTGCTTCCCACATATAATCAAAAGAACTTGAATTATCTGTATCGTTGCGAATTAAATACTGAAAATTAACAGAGTCTTCAGGTTTAGTTTCTTCTATTTGTCTGATTATGTCGACTAAAAAGGAAATATAAAAGAAATTCCGGTACCTCGAGATAACTTTTAACTTACTTTTTTTTTTTGTACTTAAAAATATAACTACTCCTTCGGTAAAAACAATAATCAGATCAGGAAATTCATAAGCAAAGAGATATAACTAAAAGTTCAAACCTTATTAGTATATTATAATTAATAAAAGAAAATGAAAACTTGTAAAGCGGTGGACGGAAAGTATACTTCATCCTGTGGAAGTTTTCCAACAGCTATGACAAAACAATCAAGCTCTCGGAATTGCTTTAACTTCTGTAATTTTTGGTAAATTATTAGAAAAATTTAAAGCGGCTTATCGGTGTATAATTTTATTAATGCAACCCTCCAAAAAGAATATATGCGGTTTAGTCTTTCATGAAACAACTTTGTGTCTAACTGCACCATCACCAGAAAGATTTGATTGTCAAGTCTAAAAGTGTTTTAAGTGTACAAATAATCTATTTGCCAATCAAGGTCGTTCCAAGGACGTAGACCTTTGAGTGGTTCAGCGTGGTGCTACAGGAAGTGTAGAAGTCCATTTATACTACTTCGTGACATATTCTTTCTCGTGAATGAAGAAAGAAAGGTTTCTACACCGTGTAAGATAACTATTTCTCTGTTGGTGGCTAAAAAGTTTGATAAATAGCACTTGGTTGGTATAAAAAAGCAGCTAATTATTGTGACGAGATCATTACTTCAAAGATAAGTTAACAACTTAGCAATTATGTTGAACCATCATGTATAAGAAAACCCGAGATCTCCTGTCAGTGTGATAGTAAAAAAAAACCCTACAAGTATATTACTAGCTAGTTTTCTAGATTAGCTCTTTTCTTTTCATGCGTATGAAAATTTACCAAGCTAACCATAGTAACAAAGTAAGCTACCTAAATTTTCTTTTAATTTAGTAAGCGTGGAAACCGGGAAAATATATGTAACCTTCTATTACTTTCTGTATGCTCTGGTCGTTGCAATACCGATCGTATATAACTATTACAAACATACAAACATTTGCATTCAGTCTTTAATTAGGCCTTTTAAATTCAAGTAGTAATATTTTCTTCTAATTCCACAAAGGTAGAGAAAGCAAAAATAAACTCATTTATACTTTAAATTTAAAATACATTTAAAATCGTCTCAGCTATATTTTAGTTTTAACTCGCAACATAAAGAGGTTATATTTTAAAATTTCTTCAAATTTTACTGCATGTTAAAATACCAAAAAAATAAGTTTTTGTATTTACTCTTAGTGCACTTTTTCTACTTTAGATTTCTTCTCTTTAAAATACAAAACCCTATAATTAAATTATTTCTTTAAGTTTACTAAGTTGGCGGTTAGTATTACAATAAATTTAAGCCATTTAGAAAATGGCAATTAAAAGTAAAGCCCTCTCGAAAGGTATTACGTATACAAAATACTGAAAGTTTATATTTTGGGGAAGCGGGTGCGTAGTAATTGTCCAGATTTAAGATAGCGTTAATCTTGGAGAGTTGGTGGATAAGTTTTTAAGACAGTTGCAAATCGTGCATACTTTGTAATGCTTGGCTGTTAGGTCCCCCGCCACACTAAAAACCGTCTTAAGAGGGGCGAGAAGTCAATATTACCTATCAAGTTGTATAAGATTCACTTTAAATGGCCAACTATCACGTGCCCTACTTTAAGTGCTGCAAGGGTGTAACCTAGGAAGGGAGCCGGGTCTAACAGGAGTGCCTACTCGCCATTTTATACTTATCTGTATATCATGGTTGTTTGTAGCTAAATGATTCATTTTATATATTTTTTAAGGTTATGTTGATTTAGAGTTTCTGTTTTAGACTGTTTCCACTACATGCGGTATATATTTACGTCAATTCGCAGTTGTTATCTGCTTGTAATATCATGTCATGCCCCGTCACTGCAGCTTAAAGTTTTTAAAGTTCGCCAATTCTAAACGTACAATGTAGAGCTTCGGATATACTCTTTAATTTCTGCATTGCTGTTTTTTACGTCGCTCGTTTCCTTTATATGCAAGACGTAATCTTTCAAGCTTTAAAGCTGTATAGTCTTTTAGATATTATATAGTAGGTCTTGGCGTATGTGTAACTATATAAATATTTTGCAACATTTTATAAGGACAACTATGAGATAAACAGTATATGTTATTTAGTTAACATAAAGTTAAAATTTCGAAAAGAGGAACAAAAAAAAGCAACAAGGTAAAATTATAGAAGTTAAAATTAAAAAAGAAGAGATGTTTAGAATTATATTGCTATAAAAAACGCAATCGGATATCGAGGATGAAGTTGTCCTTCTTCTATACCAGTTCTACCTCTAAAAACCACAAAAATTTTTAGTGGACTTTCGAAAGCTCGCCTGGCATGCACGCTTGTACCTTACGATGTATGTCTGTGAAGGTGAACGTCTAAAACTGTTTTGATGCTTAAACACCACTTATTGCTAAGAGTAAAATTACCCTGACAGTCGCAAGAAAAAAAAAGATAAATACAATAATCTCTCTGTTCTTTATTAAATAAATATGTAGATATATATTTTATTTGTAAGCTGGTTTACTTTTTGCCTTATATAATGCCTAATGCTTCACATTATCTCCAAAAAATTGGTTTTAAGAGGCAGTAAAGAAACAGTTTGGTCCTCTAAAAAAAATCTATTATACAATAGAGTCCCTTCATTCATACTCCGCCCGACCCTTCCATTTGAAGGGCATAAGAATTTCTACTTATAAGTTCGAGTTGAGGCGCAGTAATAGTTTGCCTGTTTGAAACCCCGTTCATGGGAAAGTTGCTTTAATAAACACATTAGTACAACCTCTTTCTATCATATTCTATAAACTAGTATCTGTATAAATTTTAATTAAAAATTTTCCCTTCCTTTCTGCCTTACTTTTCAGATATAAAATTCCCTTTAAATTACGAAATTTCGCAATCCTTCGCAAAACTCCTAAGTTGTTAACCACTTGCTGCTGGTATTATGGTATTTTTTTTATGCAAAATTAAATCTGCTTGCGTTTGAGAGATACTAAAGTAAACCAGTTAATTAATTATAGAATAAATGAAGGTGACATCATCTTAAGTTTGAGTTCATTAATAATAATGGGATAACAATTTTTCAGTTCAACATACTATTGTATTTTATAGAGCATAGAGAGTTGATCAAAAGGCAGTCATTAGTCTTAACAGTATTGAACCCAGGAAACGTTTACGTTTATTTAATCTCTTTATCTTCAAAACCTTCAGACTCACTAATGTCCTTCACGCTGAAATGCTGTTGGTCAAATTTCTTGGTCACCCACGCTTTGGAAGCGTTAAATGATTTATTGTTGTGCAACATTTTCAGGTTTAGTTTCAATGTAAAAATTGTATTAATTGTTTCTATTATACCGGTGAACTTTGCTTAGCAATCCCTGGTAGTGAATTTAATCTATAACTTTACAACATACGTAAAAACTTTGAATATTAACCATATTCTTTGTTTGTAAGCTTCAAACTCTCCAGCTTTCTCCGCAAGCATTTACAGTTGGTCCAAGCAATAAATTTTTAAACGCGTCATTAAAAAGTTTTCCTGGTTACTAAAAGCTTACTACATATAAATAGGTTTACTGGGTGTCGCTCAGCCATTTTAAACTTCTAATAAGCTTATGAGCAGCAGTTTTTGGTTTTATACTGTGGCGGAGAAAAAAAAGGCGTGCGAACATTTTATTACCCTTTAAAAAAGGGTCTATATCTTTAAGAAAGAAATACAAAATGTGGGACTAGTATAAACACGTGGTACCTAATGGACAGTCACGTAGTACGGGCATGTGGTATACTAGCACATGACAATATATACCACGAGTTATGAGCCGTGATTTATCAGATTAACACCATCACCCCCTTCTAACTGATAAATATGTGCCTGGATATATCCAAGTTTCCTAGTAAGTAGAAACATAGTGAGCACGTCTGCCGTGTTGTTCGCAGAAGAATATAATTTAGGGACAAAATTTTGCTTTTCATGCCTTCACGAATGCAAAAGTATCTGATTGTAATGTGTTTCGACCTTTTGTGATTCTTTGAAATGCGACATATTTTGATAGCAGTTTGATTGAGGTACAAAAGGATGCAAATTCTAAAGGACAGCATTTCCTTAATGAAGTAGCGTAACCATAAAGCTTCCGTCGTCGCTTCTGCTATTGCCATCAGCTCATGCTCGACAGGGCCCTCATGCTTATAAGTATGGACTTTCATAAGACAGGAGTGTTTTTCATTACAAAAAAGGGATCCTATAGTACTTCGTCGGTTTCTAAGACAACCGGCATAATCGCTATCGCAAAAAATCTCCAAAGAGACTGTCGCATTGTGTCCGTAGTAAACTTTGTAGTTCATCGTACCAGTCAAGTATCTAACGATTTGCTAGCCTGCTTTCTTGTCCGCTATAGTAGGGTTAGATACATTCCTGGCCACTCTATTCACAGCAAACGCTATATCTGGCCTAGAAAAATTGTAAGGTAGAGCAGGAACCGGCTGACTCTCTCTTTGGCTTAACAGTTAATTTTTGACTATTGCCAGTATCATTATTAGCGCCAGTATTTAAAATTGCTTGTCATTAGTCATCGCAACACTCTATTCTGAGTGTCAATAGTATATTTCCCTTGTTCGGATAAATTTCTGCCCCAGTCTGGGTTACATTCATCTTTGGTATACAGTTGCCTTTTCCAGTACGGACTAGGTAAGCATCTACGTATAAGAAAAAAAAGCTAGAATGAGAGAACCCTTGTTCTGGGGTGATACACTCAGGGTCGCTATGAAACTGGAGGAAGCCCGTAGGTAAGGAGGTGTTCATGTATGGTAGCCTACCATCTCATGCTAGATTGCTGCAGTCGTGGTATTAATTTAAGGCGACTCATACTGTTATATCCTTTTGTAGGTTTAACACTATCTGGCAGTTCCTTCTCTATTTCCTCACTTAGTGGTGGTATAGTAAAGGCACCATTACATTAAACTGGAACACTCCCATGTTTAACAATGCTGCCAGACGTGAAATTATTCGTAAGGTTTAATGTTGGCCACTGGACTAACCGAGATAGTGGACTCCGAATATTTGCGGATAGTCTTAGCACAGATGCGACTCGTGTTATCGGTTATTGGTGCCATCAGCATTACTTCCCATGAAGACCCACTTGCAGCTATCTTTCTACTTTCAGCTGGTAGAGAAACAGGTTTCCAAGTTCAGTTTTTCTTATGATAACCGTTCATGCTGAAATGACTTTATCCATTGATTTATCTTTACCACCAAGGATTTCACGATATCTTCTGGGTTCCGGTACCTCTCTGGTATGCATAGTAAGGCATAAGATAAGAGCGCAGTATTAGAGGTGCTTTGAATTTTATTCTCAAGTTTAGTTAGTTATTTTATCAAGACTCTCCTTACTCTAGATCGACGAGAGGCGATTCGTCTACTTCTGCATTTCGGACCTCAGCTGTACTTTGAGTTGAGCTTTCAAAAAAGATAGTAGTTTCGCCGAGAGTATCAAATGGTGCAGTAGCATTGGGTGTACTTCCAACTGAATCCGGATGGGTACTGGCCGAAGTAGGAACGCATGTCTAGTATACTGGAGAGGAGGACAACGGCCCATTGGTAGGTACATCCTCAGCGCTGAGTTTTGGTACTGTAACACAACTTTCAGAGCATAGGTCTAGAGAGGCATGGGCTTCCGGGGCGTGGAAACTCGAAGAGGAGCAGGGACCTGAGAAGAGGGTCTTCGACTTCGACTTGAAGACTTGCTTTTTTAATCTGACGGATTAAAGAGGAGGAGCAATCGTTTAATTGTCCCATAGAAGAAGGGTATTCAAATCTTCAGGGAAAAATTCAAATTTTTAAGATGTGGGATAGGCGTAGAAATATAGCATATGATATAAAGCACGTGGTTTGAATATGTGATAATTACACATGGTGTTTGTACCACGTGGTATAAGCAAGTGTTACATCAGAATTAACTCCCAACAGTTTAAAATTTGAAAAGGGGTTTTTAATAGTACACCTAACAAAAATAATGTAGGTATATTCCACCTTACAGATTATAGATTACCATTAACTTCCAATGCGTGGTGAACTCGATGATATTAATGATAATAGTAGTAGTATTCTCAAGACAAACAGTCTAACGAGATTTTACAATGTATAAAATAAAAGTATGTTAAATATAAAAGTTATAATATAAATATATATAGTAGTATGTGTAAAATTAAATGAGTTCTGGATGTTCTGGATGTCCGAGGTTAAAATCAGTTAATTTTGTTAAAAATTAACTCACAATCCTTTGGCAGTTTTAATATATTACGGATGCGTATTCCATTTTTGCTATTTTCCGTAGGGAAGAAAAGATTATGAATTTTATGTTACTATAAGTATATTATATTCAGTGTTGAAATTGGTCAAATTTTCTCAATCGTATTCCCTCTCCACGTTGTCTTTTCTTTACAGTCAAGATTTCCTAAGCTACCTCTCACGCTATAGCTATCACATACCGCCTTTTTCCCACATGAACGTTCAAGCAAGTTCCCAGGGGTTTTATTTAAAAGTTTGGGGGCAATCACGTTTATAGTGAATACCACTGCAAACGTAATATACTACTCTACGTTGTAGTAAAATTATAGTACACCCTAGGCCTCTCCTTAGTGCCATTCAGCTTTTGATGTCTCCTCTACCGTAGCAACTAGTAGAGGCCACATTCTCTTATTTCAACTCGGCAGTCTCCATAACTTCTCTTACTCCCTTGGCATGCTGAGTATTACCAAAGCGCAATATATATCGGTTGTTATTTTTAAGAGTTTTAATGGTCCTCCTATCAGCAATCGGACCCATCTGTAACTCTTTGATCTTGACCAAGAGTTTTTTCAACTTCTTAAATAATAGTTTCTGATCCATATGTACCTCTTCAAAGCTTATTCTTTTTGTGGAGTACTCATATAATGTATACCACCCATGTACAGTAGTATGCCTATTAAACATAAATGCTTTTTCTCGAGATCGACAAGTAACTTTTTTTATTATATTAATATTTAATTACCAATGACCTAGTATAGGTTTAAGATATAATAAGCTTATTTCAAATTAAGCAGCTAAGGTTGTGCCAACAGTAGATTAAGAAGGCGGCAGCATATCGGCAAGTGGTGAAACCTAGCGCATTTTGGATCATCGGATATGATAGCATAATTTTTGAGGAAATCACCCAGATTGTTATGAAAATGTGACTTAACCTTTAATAACCAAGGTTTTAAGGATAAAAGCTTGAGTTTACCATAAAAAAATTATACTTTTTTAAGTCAATAAGTTCAGTAGATCTAACCTAAGGTTTGATGAGTTAGGGACTAGGGCAGGTTAGCATTCAATTTTTTGTTTTAGTAAGTTATTTAGTTAGGTTTTTTTTATTTTTATTTTATCCGCCTTATTATATTTCCTCTTTTTTTTTAAGTACTGACAGTACTTTTTTAAATTTCCAGTTTATATCTAGTACTGCAAAAGTTGATCTCTTTTGTTAACGGTTTTGATAAAATATATAAGATGCCGTAGGATCTGTAGGCAGGTGGAATGCTTCTACCGAAACCCGAATGGGTAATAACAAATGTTTTTTTTTTCTGGACATTATTACAACCTCACTACTTTATTACAAAATATTATTACAAATCGACTCAATGATTAAAAAAAGAAAAATTTTTTATAACAATGTATAGACCAGAACTTTGAGAATATGATGTTAAGTAGTAGGACTAATCTCTATAATATAGACCTGAACTTACTAATGTGTAATGAATGGTATGAAAATCTGAATTTTCATTCTAAGCCTAGTTAATCTTTTATTAACAATGTAAGTAGGCAAATTTACGCTTCCGACCCGAATACTTTCTTTATAATAATGTGCTGTCCATCTTGTTTCTTTTACTTAGTTTCAATTTCGACTTTACTTCTGACTGTTCCATTTCCATTTTTCTGGGCCTTTGTTAATTAGTTAGGCACATTTTATCTCCATAGAAGTTTACGAACGTTGGATCGTAACATTACGCTTTAGCACTCGTTACTGTTCAAAGTAAACATTTATCCAGTCTCAACACTACTATTCAATTTCTTATAAATACTCATTATAACTTATATTAAAAAGATTTAAATAAAAGTGCATAATGTATAGAAAAAACATTTTCGTCAACAATAAAAAATAAAAATAAAATTCGCACAAGTTACATTTTTTAACACGCGCTTCGCCGATCCAGGGTTTTTAAGGCGGGTAAAGCGCGTGAACTACCACTTGAGCTTTGCCGTAAGGCATTTTCGGGTCGTCTACCCTCTTAGTCTATTAACGATGTGACCACCTGCTCTTAAAATTTTCGAGGGTTAAAAGCTGGGGTAGCGTAGTGCATCTTGAAGATGAGAACTGCTCTGCTTTTTTTCCGCATTTTGCCGCTGCCGGCACCAGTTGACAAGTGTTAACTCATATATTACATGTAAAAGTACTATTTAAAAAAAGCTAACCCATATTTATTTATTATTTCTAAATTTTTAAGTTAATATGCATTACTTCCGTAACGTATAATGAAATTTAAGGTGGAAAATGGTATATTTATTAATTAAATAGTATTATATATTTTTTAATTTAATTAATTTTTATATTATCTATCTTGATTTATTTTATTTTATTGGGCCATTTTTTTTGCCGATGGTGTCCTTGTGTACTGAGCATGCAGTGTGATAGCCACTTCCTTTGAGAGAGGTACTGCTATGCATGACTGTTGTACGTTAGTAATAAATATAAAATAAAAAAATAAATAATAAATTTTTAATTTTTAAGTTAATTTTTGCATTTGCTATTGTTAGATTTTTTCTTCACGCTAAAAAAAGTGGACGCCCAACTTAAGGATCCTGGAACCTTATCCTAATACTTGGTAAGAGTTCGATGTATTCGAACTCGTTCGTACAATCAATCCACAAAAATTATTTACAAATAGATACACCCAATAGACAGGTGAGGAAGCAGTTGAAAGGTTTGCACTTTTTGTAGGCAGTCTTTTGAAAGGGTAGATAAATAAACGAATTGAATCACATTGGTTGTTCTTGTCCAAAATTTTACTTAGTTATTTCTTTTAATTTATCTCTATGCTTGTTACTTTTAACATATTATATATAATGGATTTATATTTCCCTTCTCCCCTTCGGGTGCGCTCCCTTTTGGAGTTTAGTAAAACAAAAAAAAAATTATAAAATTTTATACAGAGATGTGTATATTAAATACTGAAGTAAATATTAAGAGCAAGTAATACACCGTTAACTAGAGCAATCAATATTTCACAAAATTCTGTGAAATAAATATAATATTTGAGAGTTAAATCATTATACTTATCTCAGTTGTGCATTGAAATCTCATAAATTATTTATATGAACTTGATAAAATTGCAATAACTTGCACCGTTAAAGTTATATTTTTATTAGTATTTAACTCCTTATTGCACACTCCGTTGTTTTTATACATTACATTATGTTTTCCGGCAGTTCTAGCTCAAACTTAAAATTTCTTTTTAAAAAAATATAGGATACGTAAATAACTTTTTCAGCTAGACCTGATAAAAGTGTTATACTTAAGGTTAAGTTTTAATTATCTTATAAACTTGGTTCGTCCCGTTTTTAGAAAACCGGTATAACTTAAAAAATGGCTTTTATAATCAGCTTGTGGGTTCACATAATACTTACTAGTTAATATTATTAAAATAAGATTTATTAGAACTATATTGGCAGACATTTTGTAAATGATACCATCCACAGCAGTATTAATTTCGAAAGGCTAGCATTATAGTACAAAAAATAACATATAAAAAGTACAGCCAGAATACTGCCAGCTTTGGAAACTAGCACTATTGATACTGTAAATGAAAGTAATTGTTTAGTTTCCAGATTCTTTGAATATTGTAATTGCTTTCGTCTTGTACGGTAACTCTGAAAATTTACATACAAGAATTCAATTTGCTAAGCTACTACCAACAATTATTTTTAGCGCAAAGAACTTACGTATTTCACTTTAACTTGGTGGAAAAAAACTGAAAGAAAGGAAACGTCAGCTGAACCCTACACCCTCTTTTTATTTTTACCTTTTTTAGAAAATATTTTTACTTCGCTGAAAGCAGAGTTTATCCAAACTAAATTATTCTTTTCATTTCTATAAATATCACTATTATTAACTTTAAAGAAATTTAAATAAACTTAAGTTGATAAAATTGACAACGCCGTGAAATCAGCCCTTAACAACGGATTCATAAAAAAATAAGTATTTTTTATTTTTAGATTCAACGCTCGAATGCCTGCAAAGAAAAAGAAATTACAAGACTGAAACGTTTTAACACTTGAGAGAATCCAATAGATTTGTAACTTCCAGCGGAATTAGATGTACTCAACTTATCGAAATCCACTTTTGACTGGGAACTGGTTGAAACTTTGAGGGTTCTCGTATTAAAAGGTCTTGTAGATTGATTTTTAGTAAAACTTGGAGGGAACGGCTTTTCTAAATCTTTTTCTCGAGATTTCAATCAAAATTTTAAAAGAATTCGTATCAGAGGGATGAGAGATAGAAATCTCTTTAGTAAGCTGATTACCAATTAACTGCGGGGATGGACGATCTTTTTTTTCAATCTGAATTTCAGGGCCGGGAGAAAAATCTGGCGATTCTAGCGTAATTGCGTGTGGGTTGCACTTTTTTTCATCAAAAGAAATAAAAATTTCACTAATTCCATCATGCGTGCAGTTTGGATTTGAATTTATAAGATAATTGTGAAGAACCCGGGAGCAACAAAGGAATTTTTCATTAAATTCAAAAATTCTTTTTAAGGAAATTGACTATTAGAATCCCCTCAGTTTTGTTTATTAACAAATACGTAAGACTCACAAGTTTTTTTCCGAATCATAGGATTTACCAAAAGCGAAAATTCCGATGTATGTCAGAGGATTCCCCCTGAAATCTCTTAATGCAGGAGAGTAATTATAAAAAACTTGAAAATTAAATCTAATAATTCTTCGAAAAATTATGTGTAACAAATAACCAACAGTAAAAAAAAACTTCTATTCTTTTTTTTTTTTTCAGAAAAAATTAAATGTTTTATATTTTTTTAAAAAAAAATTACTTACAAGGCTTTTAAGTTGTCAAGTTCTGCAAAGCAATTATTGAGTTTTTGGCAAGGTATCTCGTTTAAAATTATATATATAAGTATCTTTTATAATTATAAAATTCTTTTAATTTAATTGTAAAGCAAAAGCGCTTTTAATTTTATTTATATATACCTTAGCAAGTTAGCTCCCTGCAAACAATATCGAATTAAAAAAATTGTGACATTAAACAAACAGTTGCAACATTAATATTAAATATATTAACATATATTTAGCAAAAATCATTAATTATTTCAATGCGTTTCTATGTAGATTAATAAGGTTGTAATAATTTGCAATGCAATAAAAAAATAAAATTAGCGTATAGAATTTTTAAGAATAACAATAACTCTGCAACGTCTTCAACTACAAAGAACTTAGCTTTAGTAAACCGTTGAATACTCCTAGGCTAATTGAAGTGAGTCTCTTTCCTTCTAAATCTCTTTATGATAATTTTTTTAAGAAAAAGTTAATCTTTACATAAAATTTATAAAAGTATTTATAAATCAGTTCATCTTATTAATATTAATAATAATAAAATAATTTGCAAAACTTAAATTAGCATCCACTTCTAAGCTGACTAAAGCTTTTAACTCAGAAAAGGAATCATGCTCGATTGAAGTAATGCTGTTTTCAATAAGTCTTCTGTGATCCCAGAAAAAAAAGTGAAAGTGATTTTAACGGTGATAATTTGTAATTATAAATATAAATTAGAATCATTTAGAAAAAAATCGTATGATAGACTCACAATATTTGCAAGTTCTTAAGACCTTTAAATGTTCCGCGACTTATTAAGGAAAGTTGATTCTTACCTAGATACCTTGTAATGAAATTAAAATCAAAAACCAACCTATAATAAACTACGCGAGTAAAAGATCTTAGTTTCAGAATTGCTACATTTATAATATATTATATAAAAATGAGGACAAGTCATAATTAATTAGTAATAAAATTGATAACATTTAAATTACAAATGTTGTAAAGCAACGAAATTAGATAAAAGGCCGTCTTCAATTATCCTAATGTTATTTGAACTAAGACCAGACCTCTATATCACGTATAATTGTTATAAAGTTGGCAAGCATGCATAATAAAACGTAATCAATTTTTAAACAGTTTTAAGAAAGGTTTATTATAAAACTAAGTTAAAATAAAAATCAAATTTTAAATTTTCAGCGGTTCGCAGGGCATTCATTGGAGTTGTATCCTAAAAAGATCACATGACGCATTTCTTCAATTTTTAATAATATACTTACAAAAAATACTAATTAAAGTAGAAAACTTTTCTAATGCTGAGTACAACGTATAACTAATATTTTAATAACCCCTATCCCTCACCATGATGCTTTGTTAAGATATTAACTATGAAAGCTTTCCTTATAACATGAGAAGCGCATTAGGAGTGTAGAACCCCATGGTAAACCATTTATACGAAAAAGCTGCAAAACTCATATAAGAAATTAACTTTTAAAGCTTAAAATTTGTTTGTGTTACAGGATATATTATTCGGAAAATTTTTTGAGGTTTCGATTCGGTAAGAAGCTATCAAAAATTAGTTTAATAAGTTAATAGTAGAAAGTAGGCATTTGTTTAATGTATTACGGCGATAAAGAGTATGGATAACACAAGAAGAATTTTAAAGGAAAATAGTAATGTTATCCTTAACGTTTCACCTTTGGCTCACATTATAATACACCCAGCAATAAAAAAGTTTTAGTCTTCGCGCTTAAGTAAAGCTTTTAAACTTCAATAAAGTGCAATTAAAAAAGATAAATACAGCTTCAACAACTGAAAATTTGACTTCGAAAGCGTTAAAGAAGATTAAGATAATATCTAGCATACTTACACACCATCCCGGCTCCCCTCAGGATCGCACGGAGACAACGAGACCCTTTAACAAAAACGTTAAGCAAGAGAAAAACTAGAAAACTCGGCATCGGGCTTTGAGGAAAACTTACTAGTCACACAGGTGTGGTTCCTTCATATACCTAAAAACAAGATATATGCTTGAAAAGTCTTACCTAAAAAAAGTGGAATTTTCCCTTTTATTTTCTAGTGATATATTCTCTCAATAACCTGTTTATTAAATTAAATACGTCTTAGTTTTTAACATAAATATACATAAAACCCACGCTAAAAGTTTAGTGGTAGGGAGCTGCTTAGAAAATAAAAAAGTTATAACCTTTGAATACCTTAGACCAAAAAAAAAATACAAACACGCCTTACAAGGACTACCCCAAACCATTTTTTTTTAAAAACAAAACTTAAGAAAAACGCGTTCTTTAAGCAATTTTTATTGTTAAGACTTAATACCTAAACAAATGATTTCCTTTCCTCTAAATATGGGCCTCACCTTGTGGTGGGTTGGGAAATATAACAGGAGTTTTAATTGCTTTGCTTCGAGTCAGTTCCTTGAACGTAAGTTATTACTAAATTTGATGTATAGAAAAATGAATAATGAAAACGAAATTGAAGTTAATACAAATAAAATGAAATCATTTAATAAGGTAAGGACATGTGTTAGACTTAATACTATAACTGATTTCCTTCTCCTTGAAGCTAGACGTCCACTTTTTTGCGTTGAGATCGGCTGCATACATTTCACCACCAGTCGCATTATTACATATGAAGATAAGATATACCGATATACCTTTTAACAAACGCGCTTAGGATTGTGCTCAATGAAATAGTACAACGCGACCTGCGTAACCGCTGACCACAGTCTTCAAAAGCAATGCCGTCGCCTTTTACAAATGGATAGCTGGAGACCTTAACCGTCTTAAGAGTAATAACCCACTTAGGAATCATTTAACTGCGAGACAATACAATCCGTTACGCGTGACGCACTCTTAGGTGAAGGTTGGATGCTTACTTTCTTAAATAACTGAACTCATTAGATTCCTTCAAAATTCATTTATTTTAACACTTATTCATATATAGTATTAAGTTAAAAGCGAATCTCCTTCGCGTAGTTAACTAGGACTAAACTGTAGCGCTTGTTAGCAGAATAGGTCGAGGAGGATAAGTGATCTATTAACTATAAAAATTTTAAAGCTGAGTTGTCTATGCTTACAAATTAACAGTTTAACAGCTTATATCTGCACAGGGACCGATATGTACTAACTACCGTTTGAAACAAAATCAAAACCAAAGCTACTAAGCAACAGAGCCCGAAACTTCACCTTTATTAAATATTTTTATCCTATATATATGCAAATATTAAGATTAAATAGATTCTTATAATTATTATCCTACTGTAAGACCTCTAAGTTAAACCACCTAGTTTCTATATATGAGGTCATTGGTCTCTTATTCACGTGGTTTATTAATGTAGGCTAAAGGTAGTTTCATTTAGCTGAGCTCCACAAGACTTGGTTGTTATTTTAACATTAGCTTAGCCTTCGCTTTCAATCAGTGCTTGGAAACGCTTTGGCGGGCAGGACTTTCAAATAACATAAATATGATTAAAAGTGTGCCAACAAGTAGTTAAAATTTTCAAATTAGAAGGAAACCAAATTTCAAAAGTATGCATCTTGCTACAGTCTTTTAACAATTGGCTGCATTTTAGACAGAATCGTCAATTGGATATAGTTGCGTGCACCTCCAACGCTAAAAGAAGAGTTTAAGAAGTCCGTGGTTTCTCACACTTGCTCTCTAGTCTGAGCCCTCGTTGGGTGCTACTAAATCCTTTTCTCTTAATTTAGTTTCCTTTGACTATTCTCAAGGGGTTTTCTCTTAAGTTAATTGCCAATGTTTAAAATTTCCTTTTAAGCTTTTAGGCTCCTTTAATAATACACACGACCTCTAGACGTTAAGCTCCCAATAAACTAACCTGTAGACAGTTACCATCAAGACTTTGTTCGGCCCCATAGACCAAAACAATATATTGAACTTACTGTTTAGATGATAAAGCTCAAACTAATCTACAGCTCTATAGATCGAAAAGATACCACAAACGAAAGATTGAATTTTGCTTTTATTGAATTAAAATGAATATACATACACACTATTAAAATAATCTTGATAGATTAATCTACCAGTTAAAATTAATATAAATGCAATGAGCATACCCTCAGCTGTATGGATCTACCCTTTTTTTTTCCTTAACTGCGCACTGTAATTGGATCATATAACAAAGGACTAATTCCCCCTTTCAAACCCTATTTTGTAAATTATTGACAAATGTACATTTAACGACTATTGGTTCATAAACGTAAAAGGGTTGACGAAAAAACTAATTTTGTAAGCTTTTAGTGACATAATCGAAGCAGTGAAAAATAGGTAGTTAATAACGTACTTTTTAAATACCAACAAGCAGCCTAAAAGTGACAGTAATACTTAACGTAAATATATTGACTAATTTAGTAATTTGCTTTTAAGCATTATTATAATAGCTTTACTATTAATAATTATTACGTTTTTAAAGTAAAAACCTAAAATCGGTATCTGTCGGAGTGCCCTTATGTAGTGTCTGTTTTAACGAAGGACCATCTCCCTTCCAACTTAATAATCATGTAAGCTTGGAGGTGCATGAGGTTATAACCAAAGTAAAGATAATAACAATATATGAAGATAAAAAACGCGAAAATAACGGCAATTAGAGTAGTAGAAACCCAGAAACTTGACAAAAAGAATAAAGCAAACTAATAATAAAATAATTATAATCAGAAAACATGAAAAAAACAATTATGTTAAAAATAAAACTCTAAGAAAAAATAGGACACAACTAAGGATTAAGAAGAATGATTAAGAACAAAAGTAATAAAATTTTTTATTATTAATATAACAAAACCTAAAATCCTCCTACCAGGAAGAGGCTTGCATAAACCCCATCCGAGCAACAAAATTACTCGTGCCTGCCAAATTTGGTACAGGTGCAGGCCTTTTAGGTGTAACACATAACACCATTTCTATTTATGGTTGCGTTAGGAAGCATACTTTTAGAAGTAAGTTACTATTAAAGTAGTGACTCTTTCCTCTAACCGTAGATTTAAACATAACGAATTAGAGCTTTAAAACAAACAATTAAAGTTGCGGATGTTGTCGTTCAATGTTACTATATTTACCCCTATTAACTTGTGGCTGAATTTCCTTGGCGATGCCTATGATCTTCGTTCTAAGTGAGGGAATTGGGAATCGCCTTCTTAATGAAGTAAATGATATTATTCTATCGCTATAAGTTTCTGTTTTTTTATGACCTTCCGGGTTTGATTATTAGAGGGTCTACAGTTGATGGGGAAAAAAATTCAACAGTTGGTAGTAATAATTTTATTAGTTTTTATGAATATGTTCTAAAAGATCGACAAGCAACCTGTAAAAACTTTTAAAAGAGCGTATTGTTGTCGAACGGGCTTTGTTAAGCGGTGGCCTGCCTTCTTATTTCCGGCGTATTAGGCAACCTCAAGAACGAGAAAACCCTATTAGCATCTGGTCCTACCATATTAACATTTTTCACACTTTGAAAAGTTATATATGGTATACTATTAGGTAAAGAATACGACATTCATGCTAACTCACATAAAGTGTATATACTAACTTTAGATGTTTAGGGGACTGTGAAATTTGTAAGAGTAACATTTTATAATATGTTGAAGAAGGCAGGCGAGATCATAACATACCGTTTTTTAGGTTTTAAGCCGTAAACTGATGGCCAAAGAGGGGTATACAGATTATGTTAAAAATTTATATAGACTAGCGGTCGTACATAAGTAAAATACTAACACTTATAACAAGTAGTGAAGTATCAAGAAGAATTTCGGTGTGAAAAAAACGATTATAAACTTTACACGAATTTACTTCCTTCAAATAGTTTATATTATTTAAAATGAATTTCTCCTCGGTTTTAGTAGTAGACCTTTTATATTTTATTGAATCTCAATGAGAACTTTATTTTTTATATTTACTAAATTATAGTTTCCTTATTTTTTTGGCCCAGGAGTTTTTTCTGCGTAGTACACTTGCCTCTTTGTTCTTTTAAATTCTTTTAATTCTCGAATATTTTTTATCGTTAACTTCGAGTGTTTAAGATTTATTTGGTAAAGAACTATTATTTTGGGGATTTATGGCTTTTAGATCGTCCATTCTTATCAAAAATTTTAAAAATAGTCAAGGGACTTGAGTAACCACGGGTACCTCTCTTGCCAAAAACTTTTTCAATAATTATATTCCATCTGATATTCTATGCTGTAATTTTTTTATTTACTTAAATATAAATCTATATCCGTTGAATAGAGACTCGAGTAACAATAAGTTCACCTTCTTTGGAAAGAGAATATTTCCAGGCCTTCAGAAACTTACAACCTTCTCAATTAACAATTAGCTCTATAGAAATTTTTTTTAGTAAAATTTTTTTAATTTTCGTATTTTTAACATATATGGAATTACCAACATTTTGTGTGCCGCAGACTGCCGCGGAAGGAACTCTTATATTTACACAGAAGAGCTTCAAAAATTTAAGTTTAATGCTCAATCAGACTTATAATTAGGCCTTTGTCTTTTGAAACTTTTTCTTTATAAATTTTCTTTTCGACTCGTTTCCGTTTTTAAGACTGTTATCAAACAACAATCTTAGTGGCATTTAAGACGGGATGTTGAGGCGCGAAGACCCTGCATCCTCCCGTAGGAGCATCAGACTGTCCCCGAAGGGCTGAGGGGTTGCGGAGGTATATCTGGCGGGCTTTCGTAGTATGGTTTCGAGTGGCTGAAAACCACTGAAAAACCACCACCGAGAGAGGCAGCCTTAGGCAAAACGCCCGAGACCGCCTGGAGACACGTTCAGCGCTACTGACAGCCAGGCCTCCCTCCCGAAGGAGGGGCCCTTACCACACATCTTTATAAAAAAATAAATATATATACGGTGCATACATAGTATATCTCAATAATAGCTACCCAACAAATATTTATTTGCTAACCCTCACTTTGCTGTATGGTGTTAAATTTTAAAAACTCTACCTTAACCCTTTGACTGGTAAAACTCGAAGGTTTAAAATAATTTGTACTATGTTTACTGGTAACTAAATTTAGCACTTTTTTATGTTTTGTGGGTTGCTACCTAATCCGTTAGAACATGGCACTGAAACTTACTAGAGATTGTTTCAGAGACCGAGCTTGTCGTTTAGGGTTAATTTCCATAGACCTACTACTGCAAATTGAGCCCGGGTGACAAGTGGTAAACATAGTAACCAGTAACCTATGAGGGGTTAAGTCTGTACAGCACAATCTTTGTTATTCAGCCTAAAGTAGAACTTATCACAAAATTCAATAACTTGTTTTTCACATAAGATCTCAGTAAATAATCGATTATGGGTCCTGTGCGACAATACTCCAGCTTAATATTATTATATGATATCCCAAACATACATGTCGGGACAACTTAGTTCCATTATGCCCCATAGCAATGTGGATTGCCACTGGTTACCAAGCAGTGTATCCTGCAAAATACCAAAATTCATTTAGGAGACCATGAAACCATTTGACCTATTGAATGCACGATGCAAGGCATTATATTCTGCCTCAGCAGACGGTAAAGCCGTTATGCTTCAAAGCTTTGAGCCCAAAACAATTGCGCAACCAATTTCCAATATAATGATTCTGCTTCTATTCTTTAAATTCGGGGCATAAATTTCCTACATACACTTAAACCTTTAAATTCCCGCTTCTTTTAGTAGGGGGAGATCGTTCCACTTAAATATCTAAGAACTTGTTTGGCTGCTATCCAGTGTTGGTTTTCATAGATCTTAAGGTGTTGCTCCAGACTTAGTTAGGTAGCTATATCAAACTTAAAATAGTTTGCGAGATATTAAAGTATCCCATTGGTTCATTAAAGGACAAGTACAAAATAGCGGAGTTCATGTGTTTAAGGACTTATGGACGACGCGGTGGGCTTGGCCCTAGGTGTCCCGAATTCTTAGAGAATGTAGGTTATTATATAGGTTTTTGTATAATAAAAATTTAGTCCAACTTTTTTTAATGTGGAAGTCAATAAAATTTTCATTTGATACTTTCTTGAAATTAAAGCCTACTAAGTTTTAGCACTTTCTCGTACTATTTTTGTAGCGTTGATCATAAAAACTCTTAGACCACTCACACAGATTATCATGATGCTACAAATCCGCTTTTATCACTGTGTTTCAGTTTTAGGGTTAGAAAA